GCTGGCTGCACTTCTCAGCCAGTGCTGCGTGAGATGCCTTCTGGAGTGCCATACTGTGTTTCAGGGGTAACTGGAGCACCACCCAGAAGCATACAGGAGATAAACAGCGTCGAGCTGCAGCAACTGCTTCTCAGCAACCGTCCTGCAGCCGACTACTTCGCACGTAAGCAGCTCATGTTTTATTTTCCACAAGGTGCACTACGGTTCAATGGTCATGAACACCCCGAGTTTCGAAGCCTCCGTGACCACTGCGCAGACGTAAATCTCATAACACAGCGCGCCATGCAGCGGCTGGGTTTGGTGCTCATGCCCACACGCACGCACCTAGATACGTCCGCCAGTGTTGATGCCAAGCTTTTGGGGGAAATTGACACGAGGGGAGTGCAAGTGACAATGCTTCCGGGCACGATACACGAGTTCAAGCTCAACCTCACTCAGACACTGGTGGTTGAGAACACGCCTCTGTTCGATTTCTTGGTGGGCAACGAGCAAATGCTACCTGTCGCGGACGCCATCACCCAGTATCCGACAGCGCAGCTCCACCTGTTTCCCAATGTCATCGAGATTCCGGACTACACAATTAGCATCCCCATGACACCTGCTCTGCGGTCTGCCGCAAGAGGGGTCACAGCTAGCCTTCATTCAACAGCTTTCTGTACCAGGGCCAGCTCTCTTCCCAGCGATATGTCAACAGAGCTGGGGGGGGGATGTGTTACCAACGACAGTCTGCAGCTCATTCAATCAGCCAGTACAACTGTACGGAGCGCATGTGTTAGTCCCTGCAATCACGCCAGCACCCCTACGGCTGCCTCTACCCAGGCGTCAGAGCACCGGTTGGGAAAGGAAGCAGGTCAGCACAACACAACACATGTAGCACCTCAGTCTGCCAGCACACCCAGGTCAGCCTTGGTGCGGGCAGCATCAGCGATCATAACTACGGTCACCAGCGTTACATCAGCAGCTACCAGTACCGTAGCAGCTACGATTGGAGCCGTAGCAACTGTGGCCACTCCTGTGGTCGTAACACACCAGGAGCCCTTGCCACCGCCCCGGCAAAGCGGCAAGAGGAAACGGGCTAAGGCCCTACGCACAAAAAGCATCAGTGTCACCAAGCGCACATGGACAAGCCTTGCAGCGCTCAGCATGCTGGCAACGCTCCTGCTCTCTCTCGCTGCAGGCGCAGGCGCCATGCAGGGCAAGTCGTTCGGCGCCTCAGGGGTAAAAATCGCCACACAAGCCCTTTCCACAGGGGGGCTGCTCCTGAGCGCAGCCAGCTGGGTGCCTGAATCCGGTGGTACGTCTACAACGCGCTCAGGCGCACGATACCACGACGGGTTTGACTACAAAGGCTGGGGAAGGGAAAGCTACAGCCCAGCTGCTTCACTTGCCAGTGTATCCTCCTTTACACCTGAAGGCAACATGGCAGCAACAGCCTATGAGCGCTACCAAAAGGATCCTGATGGAGGATGGATCTGGGGCAATAGCATTGCTGTGAGCGTGGCCTCTCACCCTTTTAGTGACATGGGTGGGGCCTCTATGGCGCTGGCCGCGCATGCTCAAGATCAGACGCTCAGTCCCGATGCCCGGCGTCAGGATATTTGGGACGACGAAATCACGATTTGTCTTCTTCGCTCAGGTGAATGTCCACCTGGCACCGACATGGCGGAGCAAAAGCGTTGTGCTCAACGTGCACGCAAGTACCGTTTCCAAGGAGAGACACTCTATCGCATCGAGAACGACGGCAAGCCACGCGTCGTTCCGAAACCTGGTGACCACACTGACATCATCAAGCGCACCCACGCGCAGGCTGGGCACTTCGGGGTGCGGCGCACTACTGCGCTGCTTCTCACCAGCTACTGGTGGCAGGGGATGCATGACGATGTCGCTTCAGTGGTACGTCACTGTGCAGCCTGCGATCGTGTCAACACCAGCTTTTCAGCCAGGGCGCTGGAGCTCAACCCGCTGCCAATATCGGGTTTATTCTACCGCTGGGGTGTGGACCTGTGTGGTCCGTTCAAGAAGACCCCCAGGGGTTTTACCTACGTAATGATTTGTGTGGAGCATTTTTCTAAGTATGTGGTTCTCATTCCGCTGCCTGACAAGCATGCTGAGCAGACAGCGTTCGCCTTCCAGCACCACATTTTGGGCCGTTATGGGGCCTGTGCTGAGGTGTGTACAGATCAGGGCAGTGAGTGGAAAGCTGAGTTTGCGCAATTGTTGATTGATTCGTTGATAGATCATCGTCAGACCTCAGCGAACCACCCGCAAGCCAACGGACTGGCAGAGCGTGCTGTTCAGACTTGCAAAAACGCGCTCTGGCGCATTGCACATGCTGGCGGTGGAGTTGAGGAGTGGGACAAGCATCTGCCGTACGTCATGCTGGGCTACAACTGCTCCGTGCAGTCAGCATCGCGTGTCACGCCGTACCATGTCATGCACGCAGTGGAGCCCACCATTCCACCGGCGATTAAGCAGCGTTTTGAAAGCGACGTGAGTTTGGATGACCCAGAGGCGGCGGCAAGGTCTATTATGCAACGTGCTGCCGCGCTTCGTCGACATATGGCCGTGGCGGGCGGCAACCTACTCATTGCGCAGCATCGTGACACTCTTCGTTATGCGCGCATGAGGGGCGGAGCTGTTTTGCCACGTTTGCGTCGTTTTGAGATGGGTGACTACGTGTATTATCGGAATACCTCCGCTCGCGCCAGTTTGGATCCTCATGCCAAGCCGGATATTCTGCGGGTTACTGAGGTGAGGCCCTCCGGGGTGTTGGTGCTAGAGGGACGTTGTGGCAGCACGCTTACTGCCCATGTCAGTCACTGTGCGCCCTGTCATTTGCCCATCGATGACCACGTGGTCGACCCGCGATTGGCTAGGCCATCTCCAGGGCATCCCTGTGAGGTGTGCAGATTTCCTGATGGTGAAGAATGGATGTTGTTATGTGATGCGTGCGGCACTGGATGGCACACTTATTGTCTTAAGCCGCCTTTGAAGGAGATACCAGAGGGCGCATGGATTTGCCCAAAGTGTGAGTCGAAAGGAGTTAATGCTGAAGCTTTGGAAGGGAAGTCGTCCGAACCTGCGCGGGGTGCAGCTCCCGAGCCACCCAAGTACCTGCACGACCTCCAAGGCGTGGCTGTTATGAGAGAGTCTAAGGGAAGAGGGCGTCGCACCACCCGGTCGCTGGGTGTAGCATCGTATGCTGGCCGCAGGGGAAGGTCCCACGTGTTTCAGGTAGTGTACGACAACGGAGACGTTGAGGTGGTTAGTGTGAGCGAGTTGCGCAATCGTGTAGCCCCTACACGCCCCTCTGCCAAGAAAGTGATGGCGGGAATCTCTGAGGCCAGGGAGCATCCGTGCTCGGGCCTGTTCGAGCTTCACACGACCAAGGGGGTCAGCCAAGCGTTGGCCCGTGTGATGCCGGGAGAGCACAGTCCAAGCAAAGTGGAGGCATTGGTGACCGCCGGAAGTAAAGGCATCATGAGGAAGGATCCTGTGAGGGCTGAGGATGTTAGCGTTCTAACGCAAGCCGTCGCAGTTGGTTGTGTGGGATCAGTGTTTATCCCCTGGAAGTGGGATGAGAAGGCAATGCAGCAGTTGCGGGAGGGTGCCTGCACCGTTCGGTATATGCCCGATAAGGCAACCCTCTACACGGCCCAGCCGCAAAGTTTTGCAAAGGCTCGTTCTGATGGGGTCGCCATGCCAATCATAGGGCTTGATATCTCTGAGGAGGTGATGGATGTGGTGTTGCCGGTGGCATGTCAGCATGCTGAGGTAGCTGTCATCGCTGCTGTGCCGTGCACTTATATCACGCAGGCGGATCCGGCACGTTTGCATTGGCTCCGTGCTGTGCAACGGGACGACCGTTTGAGTGTTTTGCAAGTAGGAACTAAGTTTTGGTTGGTTGTGTTCAGCAATGCTATGTGGAAGCGCGCCCTGGTTAAGGACACAACGTGCGCCGTTCAGTTACTTTAGTGCCTTTTCGGGTGATCTACCGCCAGCTCACCTAGCGCAATCCGCACATGAGCTGGGGGGGGGAGTGATCCATCCCCATTTCTTATGTCTGTTAGCACGTCATATGGCGTGACAGCTGTCACGCCAAAACATCTGGAGCGCACAAATTACGTGCCATGACCGAGTTAGTCGCTATCCGCAGGTTGCTAAGCCAACCAAAGGTAGTAAGGCGAACCGTGTGTTGATTTATTTGAGACTTTGGGTAGCATATAAGGCGCTTTCTGTTGTGATTTGAGGATGTTAGGTTGTCGTTCATCTGTCGTTAGTCGGATGAGCGTTACGCATCCAGGGTAGGGCCGGGTGTGATAAGGCCCGACGTGGATCAGTCGGTACTTCGCCATAAATGCGAGTGCGAAGAGGCCAAACATTTGTCGTTTGGCTCTCGAAGCAACTCTTCGTGAGCGTATAGACCATTATATTATTGAAGATAATATAATTATAGGAGGGTTGATAGGACTGTTTGGTGTAATAAGACTGCAATCCTACCCTACCTAGATACGCGCATCAGAGCAGGATAGATAGAGAGTATACGCACAGCACTTCATAAGGTCCGCCCTTAGTGCTCCTACCTCTAGGCTCTAGGGATCCGTTCCCAGCCCGTCCTCGCCAACTACGATCGCGCTAATCAAGTTAACGAAGCTGGAGTGAGCCAGCCAAGTCAAGCCGGAGCTTTAAGGAGAGCTCTTACTGTATTGTATAATCATCATTACCTACCATTTCTTATGTCTGTTAGCACGTCATATGGCGTGACATCGAAGTGACTCGATGGACAGGTGAAGAAGAGGACGACAGCTCCGCCGGCGGCTGCATCACCAGAGGCGACGCCGCCGCCGCTGTTGCCGCATTTGGCGGAACTCGAATGACAAGTGGGAAGGAAGTGACTCGAAGTGACTCGATGGACAGGTGAAGAAGAGGACGCCAGCTCCGCCGGCGGCTGCATCACCAGAGGCGACGCCGCCGCCGTTGTTGCCGCATTTGGCGGCACTCGAATGACAAGTGGGAAGGAAGTGACTCGACGTGTCTCGATGGACAGGTGAAGAAGAGGACGCCAGCTCCGCCGGCGGCTGCATCACCAGAGGCGACGCCGCCGCCGTTGTTGCCGCATTTGGCGGCACTCGAATGACAAGTGGGAAGGAAGTGACTCGACGTGTCTCGATGGACAGGTGGAGAAGAGGACGCCAGCTCCGCCGGCGGCTGCATCACCAGAGGCGACGCCGCCGCCGCTGTTGCCGCATTTGGCGGCACTCGAATGACAAGTGGGAAGGAAGTGACTCGAAGTGACTCGATGGACAGGTGAAGAAGAGGACGACAGCTCCGCCGGCGGCTGCATCACCAGAGGCGACGCCGCCGCCGTTGTTGCCGCATTTGGCGGCACTCGAATGACAAGTGGGAAGGAAGTGACTCGAAGTGACTCGATGGACAGGTGAAGAAGAGGACGCCAGCTCCGCCGGCGGCTGCATCACCAGAGGCGACGCCGCCGCCGTTGTTGCCGCATTTGGCGGCACTCGAATGACAAGTGGGAAGGAAGTGACTCGAAGTGACTCGATGGACAGGTGAAGAAGAGGACGACAGCTCCGCCGGCGGCTGCATCACCAGACAACTCCCTCCACGTAGTCAAGGGCAGGCACGTCCAGAGGCAAATCCTGTGTGTGTGTGTGTGTTTTGGGGGCCCCCGGGGTTTGTGTGTGACAGTGGTGATTGATGGTATACCGTCAGAAACGACATCAATTGCAACAGTAGTAGTTGCAGTACTGACATCACTACTAGACGCATCAAGACGACGTTATCACTTCAGGACGCTCCGCCCACATACACACGGCCGCATGCAGCTTTCCTTCTTCTCTCTGCCTTTCTGTGTCTGTCTGTCTGTCTGTCTGTCTGTCTGTCTGTCTGTCTGTCTGTCTGTCTGTCTGTCTGTCTGTCTGTCTGTCTGCCCATCCGTCTGTGGCGGTCCACATGGGGCCGTTATGTGACCGTTGTGATGGTTTCACCTTTTGGAGCAACCGCTACAATTCATTAACACACACACACACACTCTTCCCCCATGCCCACTCCCCCTTTCAACACACACACACACACACACACACACGGAGAGAGACCGACCTGCGCAAGGTCCTGGGAGAACACGGCCAGTCGTACTCCATCCCCCAGTGTACGACTACCCGCCCATAGCGGCAGGGAGCCCCCGATGGCCTTTAGGAGGGTGGACTTGCCCGCGCCGTTGGGACCTAGCACCTGTACGGCGGGTTGGGGGGTTGGGGGGGTTGGGGGGTTTAATGTTAGGGGGCGGGGGGGAAAGGGATCAACAAGGAAAGGGGGAGGGGGCTTCCCAGGGGGCGAGGCGGGAAAAACACACCGGCAAGCGGCATGTGAACCGCCGGTGAGCAGTGAGCGGTTCACAGCACCGCACTCAGCGCTCCCGCTGCTCCCCGCGGCAAAACGCACAGTGCAAGAATGAGAATCCTACCCGAGGTTGCGGCGGGGCTGGGACGAGTGTTCAGCACAACCCAATGTGCAACACAGAGAGAAAGGCAGGGAGAAAAAACCCTGATACAGACACACAGATACACAGACACACAGACACACACAATAGTCGACTTCGACACAACTCCCTTCAGCTCCCGAAGGAACCTCCGGGAGCACGTGGGGGCCTGGACTCCGCCCTCTGAAGTGAAGAGGGGGAGAGTGCTTCGGCGGTAACCGTTCCCGTTGGGGTATACGGTTAGGTGCCCCCCTGGCCAGCATCAGGCCCGGATCGATGTGTAACATATACATAGACACATACATACATCCATACACACATCCATCCATACTTACATACACACATACATACCACCCTGTAACAACACACATACATACACATACATACACATACATACACATACATACACATACATACACATACATACACATACATACACATACATACACATACATACACATACATACACATACATATACACGCACCAGCACACGCTGGCCCCTCCGGATGACCAGGTTGATGCCGCTAAGCAGTGGTTTCGGAGCCTCCTCCCCCCCCGTCACCCGGGCCCCAGCTTCCGACGGCGTCGGTGTCCCCGGGGGTGCGGGTGCGGGTCCCCAGCCCACCGCCACCCCACTGAGCTTTATGGCCTCCGTGTAGCAAGGGGGGGCGCGGGGGAGCCTCAGCGCCACCTGACACGAAAAAGGGGGGAGGGGGGGAGGAGGGAGGGAGGGAGGGAAAGACGAACCACGAACGAGTGAAGCTGCTGCCAAGGAAAGAGTGTACGAGCTGCTGCCAAGGAAAGAGTGTAAGAGTGTAAGAGTGGGAGGGGGTGAGGAGTTTTTTTGGGGGGAGGGGGAGAGAGGCGGGTGATTGGCAGGTGGATGGGGGGGAGAGTCCGTGTGTAACTGAGACGGGGGAAGGGGAGAAACACACACGCACACGCACACGCACACGCAAATAAATAACATTATGTTAGTAGAATGCATCTTTGGTGGTAACCGGTATGAGAGTGCATATCTGTCTGTCTGTCTGTCTGTCTGTCTGTCTGTCTGTCTGTCTGTCTGTCTGTCTGTCTGTATATCTGTCCGCAGCAATACCTTGCGCGCGTCCCCCGCCCCGGTGGCTGCCGCCGCTGCCGGGATTTCGGTTTGCGCCGCCTTGAGCTTCTCCAACATCTTGGCCTTGGACTGGGCTTGGGAGGCCTGGAGGGGAGAGCGCGGGGGGGGGGAGGGAGAGGGGGAAGTGGAGGAGGGAGCAACGGGGTTCGGAAGGCGCGCGCGTGCGCGTGTGTGTGTGTGTTTGTGTACGCGCGTGTGTGTGTGTGTGTGTGTGTGCGTGCGTTGTAAGAGTAAAACACAGTAGTGTAGCATTAACACCGGAAAAAGGGTACGACACATGTGCATCTGGATAAACCGCCGTACAAGTACAACATCAACACCACCGCCGCCGCCAGCGCTCTTCCGCCCCCTCTGCCTCCCACCTTGGATGCCTTGGCTCCGAAACGCGTCACGAACTCCTCCAACTTGTCGATTTCCGCTTGTTGGGCCTCAGCCTCTGTACGTGGAGAGGGGGGAGGTGTGCGTGTGCATGTGTTGTGTGTGCGTGTATGTGTTTTGTGTGTTTGAACTGATAATCGGATCCAACGTACTCTAAACAGAATATCCTTGAGGGGGGTGGCAGCTCCCCTTCCCCCCCTTCCGACAAGTGCTCTACAAAACCCTGTAAAACCCACATGCCCCTCACCATTTCTCACCTCCATATCTTTTTCAATCCCGTGCCGCGGAGCTCCCTCCCCCCCCTTCTCCCCCCTGCCCCAGCAGCTTCACTCGCTCGCGGTTCGTCTTTTCCCCCCTCCTCCGCCCCCTTCTCCTCCCTTCCCTGCCCCTGTCCCAGGCAGCAGTCAACTCGCTCACCCGCCCGAGCCTGCGCCTCCCGGGCCGCCCGCTGTTCTAAGAACTTGCGGAACCCTCCCACGTAGCCGTGCAGCTGACGGCCCCGGACCTCCAAAATGCGGTCGCACGCGCTCTCCAATAAGGCCTCGTCGTGAGACACCAGTACGACAGAGGTCGTGGGCGGTACACCCGTACGGAGGAAATTGCCCAGCCACTTGCAGGCCGCGCTGCACGGAGGAGGAGCGGGGTTTTAGTAGCGGGGGAGAGGGGTGTAAATCAGGGTTTTAGGCGGGTTTTATGGGTTTCAGGGGTTTCAGGGGTTTTAGGCGGGTTTTATAGGTTTTCGCATGTAATGTGAGCGCCTCCCGAGGTTGGTGGAGAGAGGCCACCCCTCTACCATCCCCGCATCTCGCCCAACCCCGACTAGGAGCTTCCTCTCAGCCTCACTTTCCCCCAACTACCCCCAACCACCCCCAACCATTCCAACCAACTCCTTCGCACGTTCACCTCCACAGTCTCCTTAAGAAGCGCTCAGCATGCTCGCCCCAGGACCCTGGTTACTTTCCAGCCTCTTTGCCTGGGCCCCCACCTCCCCCGCCATATACATGTATACATATATACATATCACATAACCCGTTACAAGCCAAAAATGGCGTACACGTACCTGTCCAGATGGTTAGTTGGCTCGTCCAACAGCAGTAACGCACCCGCTCCGGAACCGCCCTGACCCGCGGGACCCAGCAGGAGCCGCGCTAGGGCGATGCGCATCTGCACAACCAAGGTTGAGTGGGGAGTGGACCTTGGGGGTGATTTAATTTAACCAAATTGGCATTGAAAGTGGGGAAATCTGTGCATGCGCGTGCGTGTGTGTGTGTGTGCGTGTGTGCGCGTGCGCGTGCGTGTGTGTGTGTGTGTGTGCGTGTGCGTGTGCGTGTGCGTGTGTATGCGCTAAGGGGTTTCCCCGGGGTTCCCGGGGTGACACACACGGTCAGGAGGCGCTTAAGCAGGATAAGCTGATTGAAACTGCTTTATTCCTTGTAGGGAAAGGAGCTCCCGTATTAAGCTGAAGAATAGCGCTTCCCTTCATATTTCTCCTCGTCTCACATGTCCCTCATTCGCCTTTTCTTTTCAATTCCCCCCCGCCCCCCCGAGAGGGGTCTCCCCCCCTCTTTTTCCCCCCCTTTCCCCCCCCCCCCCGATTCCGTACACACCTGCCATCCCCCGCTGAACTCGCTGCACCGCTTGTGGAACTGCTCACGACGGAACCCCAAACCCGTCAGTACGGCAGTGATGGTGCGCTCACTCTCCGGGCCGCCTGCCTGCTCCCAGGCATCCTGGGCGGCTGCGAGGCGGGCGGCGGCTGATGTGTCCCCTGAACGGGTGGGGTTGGGTGGGGTTGGGTGGGTGGGTGTGTGGGTGAGTGTGGTGGTGAGTTTGGTGGTGAGTGTGGTG